GAAAAGCATTTTTTACCCAGAGGGTATATATGTACCGCTAGAAGAACGGTCCGAAAACTTCTCATTTCCAAAAGCCTCAGATACCGGTATCGCGCACAAAACCTTTTTTCAAAGGCGGAAAAAGAAAGACTAATTACAGTACTTCGAGGAACTTGTATTGTTGCTACCCTAACAATGAAACTGAAAATGAAAAGGGAATGAGTAATCGATTGAAAAACTAGCTGTAAGCTGGCATTACTGGATGGAATGGAACAGGGACTGTGCTTCACCAAAAGTGGAACATGATTTTGCGAAAGAGGGAACATTGAGGGGAGTAGCAGGTAGGCCTATTTCCCTTCTCCCTCCTTCTCAAAGTGGGTACACAGCCCCCAAAAGGTAGTACGCTTCACACCTCAGAAAGTCACAGGCAACAACATTCAAGCCATGTACCGGTACATGTTGGATTCTGTTGGATTGAGCAGGCTTCACACTTTTCCTGTTGTTAGATTCTGTCAGGTTCAGAAGGGTACTAAAGAAAACCCAAACGGGATGAGGGTTACTGAATGCCGTTCTATACTGGGCACCAGCTACACAAGTACAGTGTACATAAAATACAAAGACCCATTCTCCCATTGCTTGTTACGTAGGCATATGTACATGTACACGTACATGTACATGTAGTCTTCAGAACAAATTTGTATTTAAAGTGTGCAAATACTCGAACAAGTTTGCATGAAATCCTACTCCATTCAACGGACGAAAAGCAAGGTCAAGTGTGATCACCTGATGCTTCTAACGTTCACCAGTAAAGGAAAAAAAAGACAGGCTCGCAGGGGCCCCAAACATGAAAGGCAATAGGCCCACAACAAAAAAAGGTGAAAGTCTTCGTTTTACAACATAAAACAAAACAATGAACACAAAGTATACACAATGAAGAATGATGTCGTAGATATGAAAGAATTCCATGTGGACACCACTAGTTTTTCCCTCCAGTGACAACTGTACAGTGAAAATACTTCAGACCCCCAAAAAAGGTGATTCCAGAGACGACTTCATTTTTTTTTTTTTTTCAACTGTGTTAAAAGCCCAACAATGCCGACCTACCGGAGCCCCTCAGATAGGCCACCAAAGAATGCTTTAAATACAGTGTAGCCTTCTATGATGATCCTGACGGCGGAAAAAATGTTGAGTGCCCTCTGGTTCCTTTCAGAACCCCACATATTCATAAAAGATGTATCCTTGAAGGCTTCATAGCTAATATTCACCATGAATAGCTTCAAAGTGCACAGTAAAGTGTATGGATTGGCCTACATGTACATGTACTTCATAAAACCTTCACATTTCTGGAGTTCCGGGTCCTCCCCCCTTCTTAAAAAAAGTCTGGCCCCCAAAAATACTGTTCTGGATTCCCAACTGGATGGAAGTACTGGTGTTGACAGAGCTTTCTGATGTTCAAAATGCAGGGGTTTGGATGGCAAACATCAAAGCAAGGCATTTGATGCACAACCCCATGGAAGAAGTGTACAGTCTGCAAAACATTAAAACCCCTACGATCCCGAACCAGCCAAGCTCTGACACCCGGGTTTGTTGGACTCTGTTGGTGCAGTGTGAGTTCTGCTCCAGTGTTTTAAATGTACACGTACATACGTACATGGTGGGATTAGAAGTCTTGAGTCCCCCAAGATGCACAGTTTACTACTGGTAAAGGTACTTTGTTGAGAACTGTCCATTTTCTTACACACTTCTACTCAAGCCCTGCTTTTTTTATGTTGCATTGCATGGTAGCTATTGGATAAAGACACACGTAAATTTACAAACCTCAAACTGTGAAGCTCACCACAAAAGTAAAAACTCGCAAAATTCCATGCAGGCAAACCAGTTTTGGACTTGGACTAAGTTCATGAATATTAATGATTCGTACCAGCCAATCAGAATCAGGTCCTCAAGCTCATTCAACCCACATTGATCAATCCTGTTCACTAATATCTGTTTAAACTGACAATCAAGCTCAATTTCTTCTTACAAATTTTGAAAACTATGTATTTATATGGAAATGTTGTATGAATATTTGAATATCTTTCAATATGGATGCCACAAGTGTTTCCCTGCAGTTCACGTACATGTATGTATCAGCCATCCGTAAGCAATGACCTTAAATCTCAAATTTAGCAGGGAAAATATTGAGTTATTTACGCAAAAAATAATTAGAAATTTTCAGACTCGTCTCATAGGATTTGTGCACAGAATCAAGTGATGTGCGTACAAGGAACTCTTTCCCAGCTACATGTACATGTAGGCCTAGACTTTGAAATGGATGAGATGTATTGGAGCGTATCAATGTCTTGAAACCTACATGTACATGTAGCATGGTCTAGTTTGGAAATCGCTGCACCTCTCAGCTTATGCGCTGATCCGGCAGACTGGGTTACTTTTCAGGAAACAGGAAACCAGGATGTAAACTCAGGCCCTCAGTAATCTACATTGTAACCTCAGCATGTATCATAACCTGGCAAAATGAACACTTGGCGGCAAACAAAGAAAATTAGACTAATTCATATTCCTGGAGAACTGCATAGGCCTAGGCCTACACACTTCTAAAATGCTTTTTTCAGTCAGCAGTTATATGCCTCTGTACAGAATGTACATGTAATTGTTCAGCGCACTCTTAAATGTGACACAATTTTTGGGGCAATTTTTTTATTAGTTTCTATTTTACCCGAGTTGATTTGCCAGGAAAAGTTCCATATGGTCACTAGTAATTGTTCCCTACAATGACGTAGCAGCCACCAGAAAGCAAAAACACGCGCAGAAAAGTTTAATTTAGGAGGGAAAATACCTGTATCCAGCCGTTTTCTGAGAAAACACTTGGAATTTTTAAACCAGTCTCATAGGGTTCGCGCACAGAGTGTAAAATGGCGTCCATATGGAACTTCTTTCTGATCTGCCTTTGAATGAAATTCAACTCGGGGACAGGCATGATACTATTGACAGGGCGAGTAGGCCTACGTTAGGCTAGGCTAGGGTCTGGGCTAGCTCTACAAAGTGGAGCGTTAGAATTCCTCTTTTACGATTTTGATCTTGGACGGGATCGTCATACTAACGATCCCGTCCAAAATCGTACAAGAGGAATACTAACGCTCTACTTAGTATAGACCCAACGAATACTCCTTCATCGTATACTGGGCCCTGTCCCGATTCATAGGGATTTCTTTTGAAAAGTTTTATCCGGGATATCCAGGGGCATAACTAACCATCCGCTTGATTATATGAGCTGAAATTGCACCGGTACACATGTACGTTCACCACTTCCAGGGTAAACTTTCTGCTAGGTGGTTAATTGCAGAAAACTCGCCGTTTTCTCGTTCGGAGGAAAAAATGTTGCCTTTTTTGCCATTTTCCCACTCTTGAAGAATTTTGGCCTGACTTGTACATCACACAAACTGCTTTGTATGGTGAAGTAACGGCAGGCTTTGGGGAGTCGGGTTGGCAAGGTAGTTCTTTCCTCGCCTTCCACCTCTGTGGTCCCAGGTTCGATTCCCAGCCCGGTCCACATGCGGGTTGGGTTTTCAGTCCCTATCTGACTCCAAAATATTCCTCTGGGGTTTTCCTCCCACCTCTAAAACTGCAACCGCTTCTCACTATCTCCCCTTTACTGATGTAACTCTCTTTGACACGACAAGAGAGTGACGAAACAGCCATCAGTTTTGTCCGAGTGGGATAAATTCGTGGGAATTGGAAAAAACTGGGAGTTGAAAAACGGCCAAAAAGGTAACTTTTTTCCTCCGAACGAGAAAACGGCAAATTTTCTGCAATTAGCCACCTAGCGGAAAGTTTACCCCATAAGTGGACGTATACCAGTGCAATTTCAGCTCATAAAATCAAGCGAACTGGCAGATGTTTAGTTATGCCCCCCGATATCCATGATATCCCAGATTAAACTTTTCGAAAGAAATCCCTATGAATCGTGACAGGGCCCAGTATACGATGGAGGAGTATTCGTCAGGGCCCGTTTACAGGTCTACACTTAGTAGACATGGTAGAGCTAGTAGACATGGCCTGGGCCCTGCAGGGGAGCTGCCATAAATTTACGCAAGAGCAAAAGTCAAAATTGTGCCGAACACAAACATGACAAAGTTCTATTATTACTAACAAAATGATGCTCCTTACTTTTAGCACTTGTAGGAACAGAGTACTAAAGGTAACGAACACCAGAAAAAAATTACGAAATTGTTTCCAAAAAATAAGGAAGCTAACCGCTGTCATGTTCACGTTGCTTGGTATGCCCCGCTTCTCTCTGTCGGCTGACCTGGCCTCCCGCACTGGCGAAGCAGGGTTCTTCTCTTCGGTCGACCGTCTTACCCGAGTGTACCCCTCCCCGAGGTCATCCTTTCCCTTCGTAGAGTGGAGATGAAGAGTTCTGGCCTTGGAGCCAAACCTGGTGGCTTCAAGTCCTGGCGAAATCAACGCCAAAACCAGAATTATCCTCAAAATGACGTTAGTGGGAGTCGCCATTTTGACTGGCTTGTTTATGTGACGTGACTTGCAAGATAAGAGCCCAGCAGTGTTTCACGTATCGTTCGAGATAATATTCCTACTCTTAGATAACATAGTACCCGACGAAAACACCCCAAAATCTAAACTTTTTCCTTTATTTACAAAAATTCACCATACATATGAAAACCCATGGGCACTGAATATTACAAAAATCTGAATCTGAACATAGTTTCTTGGAAATTTTGTAAAATATCACTCCGCGCTTTATGGCCTAAGTTTTTCTTTATTTTATTGCTGCCGAGTGTGGATGTACCTGGCACGCATTACATGATGTACATGTACACAAGGCCACCCTCTGTGTATTGAAATTGACTTTTACGTACGGACAGGGAGCCAAACTTTTTTTGGCGTAACAAAATGACATCATTTTCTATTTTGGACAGTGCACTAAATCACGAGGACCGCTTTGTTGATAATTGATTATGAAAAGGCTGTCCCATCGATAGAAAATGTCCATATACAGCTTCTATGCGTGGTAAGCAACTACTATAGGCCTAACAACGTTTTCGTTTTGCCTCTGTACAGAAATGCTAAGCACTACATGATTCGTGGAATCCCGGACATTTGTACATCACAGACGGAAATCAGTAGCGGTGATGGCTGGAAACTATATGCGACCCTTTGCACCGCGGGATACAATCCAGGGAGAAGGGCAACACAAAACAGGACACGCATCCCCCAAAACTACGGCAGTTGTTCGGAAGGTTCGTGAGAAAGAACACCGCTATTAAAAAAATTTATAAAGGCTACATCGAGAAATTTCCTACCCCCCCCAAAAAAAACACCCTGAAAATTAGTCCCTGTTTCCCAAAGAGGGAAGAGTTGCCTCAATGCTGCGCCATGACGCGTGACCGTGACGAGGGGGAGGCGAAAACCCAGTTTTCCGGGGGCGGCAGTAGGGAGAGGGGGCTCAATTTCAGAAATTTCTTTATCATGTATCATTTTAGCTCTACCTTTCCGAAGGGTGAGCATAATTTGCAGGTTTGGGAAACTTGTCACCAAAACGATTATTTTTTTGCATCCAGCGGTGTAATTGGGTCGAGAGTCATTGGAAGGAGCAAAAATGGGAATGGATTTTGTGGGAACGATTCTAAATTAGGCCCACTCACTCTCATCAAGGAAATTCGGTCGTGCCTTTTCTAAACTGCAATCCCTTCGATTCCTGAAAAAAAATATTAGCAAAATACATGCCTTCAAGTTCTAGAGCACTTGGGATGAGGCACACGATGTCTGCTGCTAAATTGAATAGTTTCCCTCGATCCCAGGCCACTAGTTTTTTACTCGAATCGAGTCAAGTCATGAGGCACATTGTCGAGCCAAGTCCAGTTTAGTCAAGTATTTAGCTCAAGTCACAATCTGAGTCACAAACATTTGAGCAAAATATGGGAAATTAAAACAAGAACTGAGTCATTTTAAGCTCTTGGTTAGTAGGCTACTACATGTGGTTACACTATGTTACTCTTGATATTAACACATCACATGGAGCTTATAAACTGGTACTGCAAATACCTTTTCGCAAACTAATTTCCTTTTCTTTTGGGAATTTGAGTCTTATTAACTTTCACTCGAGTCTTGTCATCTGATGGTGGACTCGAGTCGAGTCATTTGCTCGCAGTGACTCGCCTGGAGTCATTTTTGCCCAGGCCTAGCCTACCCATCGAGACTATAGGCCTATGAGTGGCTAAAAATTGTGACTCGAGTCGGACTCAAGTCGAGTCGCTGACTAGAGTCATTACAACTCTGCTTGACTTCCCCGACTTGTGTCTTGCCTTCGAGTTTCTCTGTTGCCCGATTTATATTAAACAATGAAATGTCTTTTTGGACTTATTGCCGGGTTCTGATTGCTCTTACTGAGACAGAGTTCGTAAATTGATTCAAGGTCCGAAGTTATAAATTGAATATAGAAAAGTATGGAAGCACTTGTCCACTTGGAATGCCCGGGTTTTCAATACGACCACTTCACTGTCGTGTGCCAGGATTTTGTTGCCACCGAAAAGGTTGGTTGACGTATGATTATTTTTGAATGAAGTGAAAATACTTCCATTCAGTTCGTACAGTTTGATTCTCTGTTGGAAAACATGACGGATCAGGCGCAGATCCAGGGAAATTGGGGGTCGAACTCATTCACTCGTTCTGTGACCAAGGAAAAAAAAGTAAAAGGGGGAATATGATTGGAAAAAATAACTAAAGTAAATTACAAACACAAACAAACAAGCAAACAAACACCAAACGAGAATTCATCCTGCAGATTGTTCTTATGTAAACATGGTGATTGTTGGAAATAGTTGGCTATGGTCCGCAAAAAATGAGACATTTAAAAAATCTTCGGCATGTACCCAACTGGAAAAACTCCTGGATTCGCCCATGCGACAAACGGTGGTGGTGAACAGCGCCACCTAGTATCAGGTGGGATACATTATCATTGGATAATAATGAAATAATATTTTGCCACCTGGTGTTGAATGTGTCATCATAGAAATGGCCGCAGGAATACTTTTCCGTATTTACCTGCGCATACGGCTAACACAAAGCAACCTTTTCCCCAGAGGCAGCAGAAAATCATTTATAAACGTTTTCATACAGTCGTACTGTTGAGAAGCCAAAAACAGACAAAACGTTTTGAAAGCAGCTTTAAGTGACTTTTTCGATGACTCGTAGGCCTACAAGTTACTGAAAAGCATTTTTATTCAGGCAGCCGAAACTGGGCAGTTTGATTTCCTGCTTTTTGGAGATGCAGAGGCGGGGCTGGGATAATCAGTAGACTTTCAATCCCTTCAAGGCACCACCCCTTGGAAACCACAAAACAAGAAAATAAACCACCATTTTTAATCGGGCCTCTACTTCTCTATAAAATGACATCAGCACGTGTGTGATCACATTTTGATTGATTTAAGCTTTTCCCCTTCTTAACTATCACTGAGCTCCTGTGGAGATTTTAACCCTAAATGAGCCAGGGCGGAATCCCCCTCCCCCCAAAAAACCTTTGCCGATATATCGCCATGGTGCATTTTTGGAGTTTTTAGAGAAACTCTTTGCAGTAAGTTTGACACCATTTCTGCAAAAATGGAACATACAGTTCTTGCACAGCGTGCATTTTTCAGAAACAGGTCAGAAAAAACTATATAGGCTTACGTGTACTAGCACGCATGTAACCATGAACTTCAAATGACCGTAAGAACAGCGTCACGTGGATGTCTGACCCAGTTCAAGCTTCACATTTGTAATGATAAGGAGTGTAATATGTATATTACGAAAGTACGAAAGCCCTTTTTGTGCAAATGAAGTACAAATTTTCAGCCTGACACTTATTCGCTTTAACGAATTGCTCATTCGTAATAACGAGTTGCTAATCGAAATAACGAATTGCTGAAGTAGTATGTGAGGGAGAGTTCTGGACCAGCTTTAGCCTCCTTTACCTATCCAACCCCCTTCAACCGGCCCAATTCCCACCCTCCAAACCAACTCCCCGGGGCTCTTCTCAACCCTCAGGATTCCGCCCAACACCAGAGAACAGATCGCCGGGCGACGACATCGCACAAAAGGGGCCCGGCAGATTTCCCACAACCGAAAATTCTCAAAAACTTTTCTAAGATTCCTCTAGAAGTAAAATGGATCTAACTTTTGCCACCAAATTTGAATACGCTAAATTAGTCGCGACTAACGCGGCGTTGTTAACTGTAAACGGTTGTGAAACAGAGCGTGGTATAATCGAGCAAGCGAAACTGGACGTACAGAGACTAAGACATCACATTTGCTTGGTGAGACAAACCAAAAACGGAAATAAAGTTTATAAACCGAAGCAAATATTTATCCCCAGTGATTTACTTACCGTTTAAGATTACAAAATATATGTAAAATTTCTTTGAATAGAAACAAACATAAAAACAAAAATATCAAATAAAAAACAAACGTCAACTGTTTCTTTTGCAAAGACACGGTTCAATCTGTTAACGTGGTAGATGCGGTCGATTGTATTCATTGTTTAAATTCTGGTGGTTTATTCGAATGCATCGACTGTAACGAATGTCACGATTGTCACAAATGACACAACGGCAGTAAATGTACCCAGTGTCCGATGTGCATCAAATGTGGCGAATGTATAAATTGTGTATTTAGTTTTAATTCTTATGACTGTGAACATTCAAACGCCCTAAACAGCTGCGAAGCGTGTTTCGATTGTTATAATTGTATAGAATGTCTAAGATGGAAAGCTTGCGGTAAGCACCATGCAAAATCTCTTTTTTGAGTCTGTGTGGTTCTGATAAGAACTGGAGAGGCTCAACGTTTCGGACAGTGTGCTCTGTCCGTCGTCAGGAGAGTCAGGAGTGTCTCCTGACGACGGACAGAGCACACTGTCCGAAACGTTGAGCCTCTCCGGTTCATATCAGAACCACACAGACTCAAAAAGAGATTTTGCATGGTGCTTACCGCAATCTTTCCATCTTAGTCACCTGTCAACATGAATAGCTTGAAATCCCATCTGTATAGAATGTGTCGGCAGCGCTGTTACGACTGTGTTTGCTGCGTTAACTGCGTCGAATTAGAAGGAATGGATCACTTGGTGTTTGTCGATGGCCGGCACAAGAGAATAAGGCACAAACGAGAAGACGACTTACCGCCTAACACCTAACATCTAAACTGGATTCCAATTTATATAAAATTGGGTTAAAAATTGAATACGACGTTGACATAACAGAATAGAGTAGATATAGTAAATAGAGTAGATATTTAACGTGAAAATTTATTGGAGTCGGCCGATTAACGTCGCTTAAAAAAATGAGAAAATTTCCAACTAAGATACAAAAATCAGAATCATGTTAACCCAAATTTACATCGTAACCGACGACCACGAGCGATTCGATGCCAATAACAGCGATCGTAATGTTGTATACGGTCCTTTTGATTCCAGCAAACTGATTATCAAACCCGTGATAAAAGAAGGCACTTATGTATCCCAATGCTATTCTCCCATTTATTATAATCACGGCGGTCAAGAAAATGTTTACTAATTA